ATTACCACGTTGACACGACTTATGTACGATGAATTGGTCACAATATAACCCAATAAAGGTAGTCGGGATATACCTTAATACCACCTACATTCATTGTTTACAACCGATGTGTAAATGTTTATTGGCAAAAAGCAAAAAACACGTATTTCTTAATTTTTTGCGAGCAATCACATCGCGTAAGTGGAACTTAAGTAGGAGTGCTTGTATAATGTATATTACAAAAAAATGTCACCTGAAGGGTAGTTCACCCCCTTGAGGGGGTGCAACATTGCTGAACAATGTTGTGTTGTCACCGTCCTTATACAAAATACGTTTATGCAAAGTTTCGTCTGAATCCCTCCACTGCTCCTACGAAAAATATTAAAAAAACCGATTTTTCGCTAAACTTTGGGGGGTTGTTTCACCCCTTAAATGTGGACCATTGCAGATATAAAAAAACACGTGTCTCTTAGATTTTTGTGTTCTTCAACATATATGAAACTCAATAAGATCGGAGGCGGACACTTGGGAATGTTTCCTTGTCAGTGGTCCGCGGAAGGGACTTCAAAATATTAATTAATTCAGAATGGAACTTAAATCGCAAATAGTGGCGCTAGGAATGAACTTTAGATTGATCGAGGAATAATCGGTTTTCCCAATCTTTGCGGAGGAAATGAAACCAATATGGTGTGGAAGAAAGGAACTTAGGAAATTTTCCGAAGGGACGATCGCACTTTAAAGTGTGCGTGAGGTAGGAAATCAGGACGGTCCCGAGGGACTTAGAAATTTCAGAGTCGTCCTGGAGAAGGAAAGATATTGAAAAGGGATATTGGGAAATGTCGTAATATTTCCGAACGGTCTCCGAATAAAGCTTAGACCGGAGGGATAGAACTTTTTAAGAAAAGTACTTCGTTAAGAGACGAAAAAAAAAAGGTATTATTAACGAAAATCGCTCCGAACTCGGAAAGGAGACAAACAATAGTTTCCGAGGGAGCGACAAAGCTAGAAAATTATGGAAAGAGAGATCTTCGGTCAAAATCGTCGCGATTTCGCTGGACAAGGAAATAGAGTAGGAAAACTAAGGGACATACGCCTTTCGCAACGCGGCGGTCGCCCCGCGCTACGTGATGCGGAAACGGGCCGTTCGGCCCCGAGGGATAAGGAAATGGAAAGGCGCGTGCGCGTCGGGAGACTCTGGCCGCCTCGTGGCTTCTTGGTTTGCGGCCTCGCGAACTCGAGAAATTAACGGCTGTCTAAAAATGGGGCTCCTCAAGGAGCTTGCAGGGAATTGCGGGGTCCGGATCCCACGATTCAGCCCGCCGAAGGGAGACGAACTACTCGCGGTTCTCGTTATCTTTTATTGCCTTGAATTCTGAGAAGGAAACACTCCCGGGGGGGGGGGGGAGACTCGCCGCGCGGTCGGCCAAATCGGCCAAGTTTTCCGACGAAGGTCCCGGTTTCCCCGGACCCTACACCCGCTCCTCGTCCTCCCCGTACCGCGACCTCGACCCGAGGTGGCCACCAATTGCCCCGCGCGACTAACTAGCCCCGAACGGCGGAAACGAAACCGCGAACAACGAAAACCCTTCCTCGAAATCTACCTCGCACGGAGGGACGCGAGTTCTACCAGGAGGAGAGGAGGATTACCCGCGGTGCGGACCCGGGCCCCGGTTACCTTTTACAAGCGCTCCGGCTTACCAGCCCCAGCTCGGCGTGGCGTCCCTCGGTCCAGACGGTGTTCTGGGGTAGCGGGGGCGATTCTGTCGGCTGCGGGAGGCGAGAAGGTGACGGCCCAATTTTCGCGCACCAAGAACGGGCCGCGTCCGGCGGCCCGTTTTATTCGGGTCCCCCCTCCACAGGTCTGGTGTTATCCTTGGGGTCCCATTGGCCTAGTTCCCACCGGGTTGACCCAATTAGAGCCTCCTGGTCTCCCAGTGGGAATCCTCGGCCGGCGCGCTCCCGGGATGGGGCGCCGCCGGGGGCCGGCGGGCTGCCGGCTCTCGCTGCGCGCATCAGGGACGGCACCAGTGAAGTTCTCCGCCCCCCTCGGGCCCGTCGATGTTTCCTCCCGAGGCGTCCCTCGTCCTGGTCCGGTCCCGGTTGACTTGGGGCTCGGTCGGAGCCGTGGCCCCAGGTGTCCCTCCCCCGAGGAGGTTGCCCTGGGTGGCCTCGGAGGTCCCCGAGGCGCCACTTAATCCCCATTGTCGTGAGTCTTTTTGGCCCGTCCGCTGCACCAATTCATGGCCGCGGACGGGCTCCTCGGGGACACAGCGGCGCCTCCTCGAGGGTGTCGGCGATGGTCGGGGCCTCGCAGGTGGGTTCCTGCCCGCCGGTCCGGCGCCTGGTCGGGAAGTCGGCACCCTCCCCGCGGGCGGGCCTCCTCACGCCGCTTGGACGAACTGAGGCCCTGCCCCCGCGGGTCCGGCATCCGGCGGCCTCTGCAGGTCCGACCCCTGCGTGTTGCAGGAGGCCCGAGGGGAGAGGCAGGTGCCGTCCTTGGTGGAGTGGTCTGACCCTTCGACGCGGTTGGGTCGCCATGGTGGTGCCCCGCCGATGTTTCCTGGAGTCGATGTCTTGACGGCCCTGGCGTCGTGTTTTGGGTCGTCCCTCGGAGGTCGAGCGTCGTGCGCGCCGAGCCGGGCCGTCGCTCTTACAGATATCGCTAGCGGGTGAGACCTTGAAACGGCTATTCTCTCGTTCTAACTGATTAAAATACAATTTGACTGTCTCCCTGCCTAATATGGCTTAAGGCCCAAGGGATGCTAAAAAGTCATGGAACGGTCGGTTCATATTTCTCTACGGTACCCCACTGAAGAGAGAGAGCACGATGGCCTTTCTACACGCGCATTCGCACGAGTGCCTGAAATTCCAACTTAGCCCCTTCTCGTTACCACCGACGCAAACGACGATCGACAATTCGCAATGGGTACACTACAAACCCATTTCCTCGTTGAGCGATGGCTCACCCATCGAATTCGTCGTTCCAGGACACGGCGATGGATACCTCGATCTCGCTTACACGATGCTCAGTGCTCGTGTTGCGCTTCAATCCGTACATTCCGATATCGAGGTCAAAACTCTCAAAGATGTGGAAAATGTCGGCCCTATCAACAATCTTCTGCACTCTATGTTCAACCACGTGGATGTATTCTTCAATCAGAAACTCGTGTCACCGCCTAATAACGCCTACGCGTACACAGCGTACATCGAGACCCTCTTGAATTACGGATCGGATGCTAAAAAATCGCATCTTACGAGCTCGCTGTGGTACGGCGATACAGCCGGTAAGATGAACTGCGTAGACGGCGATAACGAGGGTCACAAATGACGCTGCGCTTTGGCCGGCGTTGGGAAGCCTATCGATCTTTTCGGACATCTACACTGCGATGTTTTCAATCAAGATCGATTTTTACTAAACGGTGTAGAGATACGTTTGCGTCTAGTGCGCAGCTGCGACTCGTTTTGTCTCATGAACCCGACGAACTCGTTTAAAGTACACATCCTAGAGGCGACTCTGCCTGTGCGTCGAGTAAACGTAAACCCCGGAATACTGTTGTCTCACGAGCGCGCGCTGGCTAAAACCGCGGCGAAGTACCCGCTCACGCGAGTAGAGGTGAAGGTCATATCGATGCACTCCGGTTTGCACAGCGAGACACTGGACAACGCGATTCTCGGCCAATTGCCGAAACGAATCATTCTCGGTTTCGTGGATAACAGAGCCTCCAATGGCGATCGCAAACTCAATCCTTTCAATTTTGCGCACTACAACATCAATTATCTGTCTCTGTATGTGGACGGTATTCAAGTACCGTCGAAACCTCTACAACCGGATTTCACCAAGAATCGTTTATACGAGGCTGCGTACCACACGCTGTTTTCTGGTACCGGCACGCATTTTCTCGATCGAGGTAATTGCATCGATCGAGAAAAATATCCCGATGGCTATTGCCTCTTTGCCTTTGATCTGACACCCGGTCTCTCGGCCAATGAGAACTCCCATTGGAATCTCATCAGGCACGGCAGCGTAAGAATCGAGGTGCGATTCGAGAACGCTCTGTCGTCGAAGGTAAATTGCATCATTTATGCTGAGTACGAGAATGTTCTGGAGATAGACGCATCGCGCCACTTTCTGGTAGATTTCAACGGCTAAGCAAAGTGAGAAAGAGAGGTGGGGCAGACAGCGCATTTTTTTTTTTCATAAAGTCTACGCGGACAATGCAGTGGGTGGTCGCGCTCAGTCTCTCGAGCGACTTTGTAAACCATGGACCTAGTAATCGACATCCAAGGTTTCCTCGACATCGAGGAACTCTTCATCTCGAAGGAGATGCCGTGGTCGCTGTGCATAGCATAATTTATCGCGCATTGGATCGTCGCACCGCCCTACCCGTTCAACGATCTACCGCCTCGCTCTCGCTCGCAAAACAACTGGTTGAGCAGGCATTATCTTGGAATAGTGTGGTTCGACGGGGATGTATCGGCCAAAAAGATGTACGAGAATCTGCAGGCCATCACCCACCATACCAGCCGAATATTCGCGCGTGGGCGCGAGAAAGCTAATCTCCTGCGCAACATTATGAACCGAGAAATCGTCAATCTGGAGGAGTCGGAGGAGTGCTCCGCATTCAAAAATCTTCCTCAAGTCGGCGATATGCCGTGCGTATACCACAGTGTACGCAAAGCTAACAAACATTTTTCGTGTTCGCTAAATAACGCGAAGCGTGTACGCGAGTGGTTGGTTCGTCAGAGGGATCCTCAGCAAACGGACTGTCATCCAAGTTGTGCCGTTTGCAGCACCATCTCCTCCACCACGATGTCGGTGGATACCGTCCTCTTCCAGGAGTACGAGCGGAAACCTACCGAGCTAGGTAACGAAGGGGTGGACGAGCCAGACGACGACGGTGGCTGCGCCACTTCGTGAGACAATAATAATAACGAGGGCTCGTTATTATTATTGTTATTAAATTGAACGGAGGTAGGAATACGAACTTCATTCGGGAACGATCCGCCCGGCGGTCAACAGCGGTCAAACGAAAAAACGATTCCGCTGCGTACGTCCCATCCATGAACAGCGTGGAGATTCGCGAGGCGCTGAATGCACTACCCTCCAGGACTATCGGCGTGTATCCGGCCGACGAGGTACCGAAGGTGTGGACCAAACCGGCATCTCTCGTGGTCAACACCGATGATCACACGAAACCCGGAACCCACTGGATCGCCATGGACGTCGGCAGAGATGGGCGAGGATACTACTTCGACAGCTACGGACTACCGCCTATCGTACCTCAACACTTGGAAAGACTCCGAAGAAATTCCCGATATTTCGATTTTAACGTTAAGTTGCTTCAGAGTGAGACTTCCGACGTTTGCGGGCAATTCTGCGTGGTATTTCTTCATCTTATGTCTAGCGGTTGTAGCCTTCATCGCTTTCAGCGTTTATTCACGCGGGATACTGTAAATAACGATAAGATAGCTCGCGAATATTAAGCCGCGTACGTAGCTAGTCGAAAGGAGCGAAATAGTGGTTATGTTAATTGCATTAGTCATCATCAATGTAGTCAGGGCTGCTGTTCTGATCGCAAACGATGGCAGTAAATAAATAAATGTATTCCCGAAGTACCTCCGTTTATTCTAAATAAAATTGAAAAATGTATGTATAGTCATAATATGCTGTGTTATTTATTAAAAAAAAAAGGGATCCAACCTCTGTCGTTCCCGAATGCATTTCTCAGCTGCGCCGGAACGTCCACGAGCTTATCCTCGCGCATGGAACGTGCCCTCAACTCTATTTTTTTTTGGCTTTGCGCGCGTCACCGATGAAATTCAACCGAAACCGTAATTATCGGTTAATCGCCGCTGCATCGAATCATCCGAAGAAGAAGAAAGACGGGTACCGAGGTCTTGTCCTTGGAAGTTTGTCTCCTCAACTTTGCAATTTCGTTGAAACCCTACCGCTGAATCGCCAGTTTTCTTTTTACATTCAGCGTCGTTCCCGAGGCATCTGGGGGTAAGCCGACACCTCGCGAGAAGGTCATTTTTGAATTCATCCATTCCGCATGTGTAATCTCCATGACAATGGACTGTATCGGTTAATCGTCGCTGCATCGAAACATCCGGAGAAGAAGAAGAAGAAAGACGGGTACCGAGCTCTTGTCCTTGGACGTTTATCTCCGCAACTTTGCAATTTCGTTGAAACCCTACCGCTGAATCGCCAATTATTAAATTCAACTTCGTTCTCGAGACGTCTGGGGATAAGCCGACGCCTCGCGAGGTCATTTTTTAATTCATCCATTCCGCGTGTGCAATCTCCATGGCAACGGACTTTGGACGAATAGCATAAATCGACGCGTAAGCAGTATTCTACGGATACTATAAATACCGAGAAAGCACCCTGCGTTCTTCATTATTCGACAGTTAGACGTCGGGTTAAACGGTGGAAAGTAAGCAAGCGACGACGACGACGACGACAACGACGACGACCACGATGAGTCATTCATCTCGAGGCGAGTACGTACTGTCGAGCTTTTACGGCTTGAATTTTTCGTACTCCAAATTCATACGAGTCGGCTTGCGGCGGACTACCCTGGACAACGATGGAAAGGACGTCTTGGTGGCGACGGTTCAGCTGGGAAATTGCACCGGCCTACACGGAGTGACTTTCGGCATCGAGGAGTGGCGACGACTACTGGAGAGCTTTGTGAAAATCACCGCGTACCTGGATTCCGACGACTACCAATCGCTCGAGCAGCCGATGCTTACGGAAGAGCAGCATACGACGCTGCTGACCGTCTGTATGGGCGGTAAAGCTGTCATCTTCGATATACGAGTGTCGAAGGATGCATCGGCGGAGCATGGCCCTAGCAACGCTGGTGAACCACCGAAGAAAAAACGCAAACACTACGAATCTACCGTCATTCTGAAGAAACCCACATTTGACGGATTAAAGAGCCTTCGGTTTGCCGTGGATCTTCGACTCCGTTACTTCGAACAGCTCGTCGATGCCGTCAACGTGTGTTGGACCGTAATGCGAGGTAACTCCGGCCAAGGACGCGAACAACTTCGAGACATCGTCATCGGGGCCGAGGAACTCAAGAAACACAAGATATGCGAACATCCGTTCTTCGTCGAGACTGTTTTCGAGGAACTCTATACCTTTATGTAAATATTTGTCATTTGGTTGAAAAAAAAAAAAATGATTATGAATTTAATTATTATTAATATGATTTCCTTCATTTCACCTTAATAAACCTGGGCGTGGCGCATTATGGGACAGCATACTCGACACCAGATGTTGTAGCGTAAGACGCGAGGTATTTAATTCAAATCATCGGGCGAGTCGGCCATCTTTGCATTCAGGTGATAAGACGCTCGCGTAGCCCTCCCACCTCGTAATGGCCGCTCTCGCTAGCGGTGATATGCGGAACCTTAAATCGCCTCCGACTCTTTCATTCATGCGTAGCACGCTCGCGTACGACTGACCCTCCTACTTTGTAATGGCCGTTCTTACTACGGAGGAATTTCATTCAGCTGATAAGACGCTCGCGTACGCTCACCCCTCCTATTTCGTAATGGCCGCCCTCGCTATCGGCAGCGCCCGTGCCTCTTTTGCATGGCCGCTCTCGCGCTATCGGCGATACGCGGGGCCCTGTACATGCCTCTCTCTCTAGCGAGACTCTCTCTCACTCTTTCGCGTCTCGCGCTTTAGCGTACCCCCCACCACTCTCGGCATTATGGTAGATGTGAAGAGTGGGGGCACGTAACGTAGCACCCTATACATCCCTCTCTCGAGAGAGATAGTCTTTCTCTCTCTTATCGCGACTCGCGCTCTAGCATACCCCCTCTACCGTCCTATATATCTCTCTCTCTCGGGAGCTCATCTTTCTCTCTCTCACTCGCGGCTCGCCCTCTAGCGTACCCCCTCTACCGTCCTATACGTCCCTCTCTTTCGGGAGATCATCTTTCTCTCTCTCTCGAATTCGCGACTCGCGCTCTAGCGTACCCCCACGACTCTTGGCACTATGGTAAATGAGAGGAGTGGGGATACGTGACGTAACGTTGCGACCGGCGCTGAATCCGGAGAGGCCGACGACGGGGCAATTCCTCGAAGCCATGTTCCAAGACCATGGGGGACGGACAGCGGAGGACATCGTCGGAGTCAGGCCGGGGCAGGAACCGTTGGGGCTCCTGCTAGACGATGCCCAGGGCCTACCAGAGTAACAGATCCGAGGGGATCAGTCGCCGCCGGACCGGGATCAGTTCCGCGGACCGCGGAAGAAACTATATTATCGAAAAAAATTATTCTGAAAAAAATATATATTAATAAATTTTATACTTTATTTTACCATATATATGTGTGTCGAAAACCCTTTATTTCCCTTAGTCGTTAATGGGAAATTATTATTAAAATTAAGGGGAAAATATGCTTGAAGGCTCTCGACGGTCGAATTCCGAGACGCCATGATTAATTAAAATATTCGCGACGCGAATTCCGCGGGGAACACGTCGACATATATAATACGATTTGTTAAGCGTAAGTCCCGCTGGGGGCGCGCCAGTTCGAGAAAATGAGAGTTACGGTTACACGCGCGCCAAGTACGCGAGTTAAGATTAGTCAGGGCCGAGGGCGAGCTCCGCTGGGAGCCCCTCGCGATAAAACAGGTAATAAGGGACAGGTATACGAACCGCGAAATAAATAAATAAATATTGTGACGTGGCAAAATTCTACCGGGGTATATCTACCCCTTGCCAAGGCCCGCTGCGCCTCGGCCTCTTGCGCACATCACCTTCGGCCGGTCGCTATGAGCAGGGCCTGCCGAGAGACTACAGTTCCCCCACCAATGCGTAACCTTCCGAAGCCCACCGGGACTCTTCGAGAGGCTACCCGAAGCGCGAACTCGCGCGTCCCAGGAGTCCACCAGGGCAGTCTCCGAGCCGATTCCCCAAATTACACCAAAATGTTGGGCGCCAGGCCTCCCCCGGAGGCCGATTCTCCAAAATTCGTCACAAAACCTCCCCAAATCTCAAAATTCCAAATTTGTGTCCAACGTCTCTCGGCCGGCCGTTGGCTCGGGCGACCGGTGCGGCGCGGCCGGCTAGCTCAGAGCGCAGGCGCCAGATTCGGAGAGGACGGGGTAAGGAAAGTTATCGGACCGC